ATTGAACTCGACGATAGATCGGGGATTGAGATCTTGAGATGGCACGGACACTAGACAACAAGCAAAGAAACAAATTTCGCAATTAGGGTTTTTAAGAGATAATTTTCCCGCTAGGCGCCACGACGGAACGGGCGCTACAGCTATTGACAGTCAAAGTGTAAAATGTTTGACTTAGCATTGTTTTAAAAGTGCTTATATTTGTGGATGGAGTACTTCTTTGACTCGGAAACCTAAGATTTTTCAGCTGAAATTGCTAATGCATGCTTCCAGATAGTTGTGCTAAACTGATCCTGCTCTATCTGAAGCAGCTAGATGTTGATCGTTGCTAGTTTTGTCTTTGCTATACTGAACGTATCTGACAATACTGATACTATGTTCACAATTACTTCTACACTTCTCTCTAAAAATATCTTATATTCAAAGTCTTGTCTTTCTGGATTTACTCTAATCATATTCCTCCAGGAAAACGTGCATTAGGCAGTCTGGCAATCTTCATTGAGCCAGTTTTGTACATATCCAATTATCCAGTGCTATTATAGTTACCAAAGCAGTATATAACATTGTATGATTTCAGACAACCTCTACCTGGACTTCAGGAGGGCTTCCGCAGCAGCGACGGCGCGTGGTGGGAGCACACCAGCGGCCTCATCGGCGCCGGCTAAGCTGTCTCGTGGGAGCTAAGCTGCTGCAGCTAGATTTCAGCTTTGCTTGACCAGCAAATCAATCCGAGCGACTTCAGCAAAATTGCTACTAGTAGTATGTAATGTAACTCTGTATACGATATAGTTGATTTGATCCAGACGGAAGAGTTCAAATACGTAGTAGATTGTGGCAACAATGACATGGCCCTGGTTACAAGTTTACAACCTTTGATACAGAAAAAGGTCAGTTCAATACATGATTCAGAGGGCTCTCTGCCTCGCCGGAGACCGTCTTCTAATGGGAAATCCCCATGCTATTACAATTGCAATGGCAAATCCAAGGCCGAATCCTATTCCAGAAAAGAGGAACAACATAACGTCTACAGATTTCTTCTGGGAAGGTATCACATTCAGCAATGTCATGTTGTTGCAGCCTTTAGATAGCGGAGGGCCGCACAAAGCATCGTTCCCAAGAAATGAACTATTGGAGAATAACGAGAAATGAGGTGATTCTGGTATTTTCCCCTCCAGCATGTTGTAGGATAGGTTTAGCGTTCCGAGGAAGTCCAAGGATGCTAGCTCTTGTGGGATCACTCCTGAAAGCTCGTTTGAGGACAGATCCAAAGCCTCCATTTGGTTTAGATGACCGAGTGGAGATGGAACCGGCCCCGTCAGTGAGTTGTGTGACATGTTGAGCGCGTGTAGCAGAACTAGCTCTCCAATAGATTCAGGGATGCTTCCATGGAATGCGTTATTCGAGACATCAATGAATACAAAGGTCCTTAGTATCTTACTAATTGCGATGGCAGACCCTTTGTATGTGAGCACAATGTTAACTTGGTAGACTTGTTGATCACCTTCAAACTCCATAACTAATGTTTCATTAGTAGATTCAATCATCATCGACTTAAGTCTCATAAACCATGCCTCACTCAGTGTGCCTGAAAAATTATTGGAGGCCAGATCTAGGATCCGTAGACTAGGAAATTCACAAGTGCTTTCCTCGGCAACTGTAGGTGTCACTTGCCCAAAGAACTTGTTGGATTTTAGGATAAGGACTTGGAGTCTAGGAATTACTCTCATCCAACATGGAAAAGAATCGTTGATTTGGTTGTTTTGGATATCAAGGACCTCCAATTTTCGGCAAGAAACTAAAGATCTAGGCAAATTTCCTTCAATCCTATTGTCATTGAAATCTAGAGCCTCTAATGTGCAACTTTCATTGATATTGTGTGCTAGCTCTCCATGAAGTTGATTTTGTTTCAGATTTAGAACTTTTAACGCATTGGCATCCTCAAATAGGCAAGAAGGGATTGAGCCACTAAAAAAATTATAAGAGAGATCTAGAACCTGTATATTGTTACTACAAAATGATGATGGAATTTCTCCGGAGAGGTTGTTTCTTGACGCCTTGAAATAGGCAGTATATCCAAGTTGAGTTGAAATATTTGTTGGTATGGATGAGAAACGGTTGTTTGAGTAATCAAGCACGAATCTAGAGTTCTGGGGTAGAGGTATTGTCCCTTCAAACATGTTAAAACTGAGATCCAACCTCACTATACAAATAGGAAGAAAGGAGTTGTAGCCAACACTAGTAAATTTATTATGTGATAAGTTCAAAAAGGAAAATTCAAAATCTGTCCATTTCTCCCATGCCCAATTGGGTATGGCCCCTTGGATTTGGTTATGTGAAAGATCAACACCGCTCATTATATTATTATTTAGATGCCTCAAAATGTTTGGAAATCTAGTTATGTTACATGATGCCAAACTCAAGTGATCTATGTTGGGCAAGGATATCAGTGAAGAATTGTTTTCTCCATCTATTACAGTTAAGTTGTTGTCTGAGAGGTTTAAAACAGATAGGTCTCGTAGTGTCCAAAGTGAAGAGAGTTTGACTGTGCCAATGAAATTATTTGAATGAAGAAGGATGGTATCCAGTTGTGTTAAATTAAAGATATGTCGAGGTATTTCCCCTACAAAGTTGCAACCATAGAGTGCTAATTTTCTCATTTTTTTCATATCTCCGATTGAAGAAGGTATTGGTCCGGATAAGCCACACTGGGAAAACTCAAGGACCTCCAAGGAGGTTAAGTTTGTGGTCCATGGGGGGAACAATCCTATTAGTTCCAACCCAGAGACTTGCAATAAACTCAAAGATTTAAGCTTACCAATAGATGAGGGCAGCTTTCCAGAAAAGCCACTTGCACCAAGGTCCAGCTTCTTCAAAGATTTGATGTTGCTAATGGAACTTGGTATTCTACCAGAGAAGTTGGTCCGACCAACAAGTAAACTCTCCAAACTACTGTCAGCAGAGATATTCGGCAGAGTACCAGATAAGTCAGGATTTCTATGAAGATCAATAGTCACTAGTTTCTTGTTCTGAAATATTGAAGGCGAGACCCATCCTTCAAGCTTGTTATAACCCAGTTGGAGAACGCTCAAGGAGGATAAGTTGGCAAAGTACTCTGGAATTGGACCAGTCAAATAATTATATTGTAGGTCAATCACATTTAGTGAGCGTAAGCTATAGAGCGACCCGCAAATGGGGCTAGAGAGCACACAAAATGGCAAGCTAAGAACACGAAGATTTGTGGTATACTTGACTAGAGCGTTGCACCACTCAAGTCCTCAGTTGGAGGATATGTCCAAGTGGCCAAGACGTAGCTCCTCCAACCTGCTAAGATTTGCAACTAAGGCTGTCAAGTTTGGTAAGTCCATTTGCCATGGGTTAATGAGATAACCGTGGTCGAATAGCTCAATAAGGTCAGAACTAAATGAGATATCAAGAGAGACCAAACTATGGAGTTGGCCAATACTTTGTACAGGCACCTGACCTGCGAAATTAGACGAGGAGAGATTAAGATGGGTGAGCTTACTAAGCCGCTCGAACCCGGCGGATGGTATTTCGGACTCATTAAAGTCATTTCCACCCAGGTTGAGATACTCAAGGGAGGTTAGCTTGAAAAGCACCGGATCGAGGCTGTTGCTCTCCAAGCCACAGTCGCCCAAATCAAGCCATATCACACGGCCGTCGGCATCGCCGCAGCTAACCCCCTCCCACCGGCAGCAATCCTTGCCGGCGTTCCATGATCGGAAGGCGGCCGTGGAGTCGTCGGTGATGGTGAAGGATCGTTTCAACTGGAGCAACGCCGATGCTTGGTCCGGCAAGCATGGGACCGCCGGCGGCAGGGCTCCGGTGTGGTTGGTGTACGTAGCTGATGATGAAGAGGGGATGAGGAGGTGGAGGAGGAGGGACAGCATGAGCAACATTTTTGTCTGGGAGGTCATCATAATGTAGGATCGAATCACAAGAACTAAGCCAACCAGAGGGGGGATGAATGGTTGGTATACCCAAAAACCGAAAACTTTTAGCGGAAATAAAAGTTACCCTCGAAATCGATGGATCGCGGTCTAACCGAAGTAGTTGCGCCGGTCTGACCGCCTGATGAACGTCGGTCTGACCGATGTAGATCGATCGGTCGAACCGCCGAAAATGCCTGTCGCCGACTCCTGTAGCCGTCGGTCTGACCGCCGTGTGCCCGCCGGTCGGACCACCGAGATGCCGCCGGTCTGACCGCCGGTGCGCCGCCGGTTAGACCGCCGAAACCCGGTGAAACACAAATCGAAGAACTCTTAAAGTGGATGACGACTTTATTACTTCTCTCTGTGTTTACAAAGTGCACCAACAGCACTCCTTACAAAAATTTCGACTAAACTCGAAACCCTAACTCAAAACTCAACTCAATTGCTCTCTAAAGCGATACCGGGAAGCCTCACGCTCCCCCTCTATTTATACATAAGGTAGGCAGCCTAAAGCCACGAACCAAACTCATACTAGGAGTCCTAAACACCTTAGGAAACCCACTAATACAAGAAAGAAACTTTACATAACCAAACGTACCAAATTTGGACTCCTTCCAAATTCGACTCCGCATCCCATACGCACACAATTCCTCCATCGTATGCCATATGGAATCTCCATTAACCACGTGCATCAACTCTTGCCTAAGTATCCCGCATGATCTCTGACCACCACGGACGTCGTCTTATCCTCAAGCCGACTCCCGGTCCATCACCGCAAATACTCTCCCGAGACATCGAGTCACCTATACATGGAACAAACAAAGAAATCATATTCCGAGACCAAGCTATCTCCAACTTGACTCATTAGCAGCAAACAATAGTATTACATACGTATAGTATCCATCTAGAAGCCATAATCATGGAATAAACTCGGATATCCAAATAAACAACCCGAAACCGAAAATGTAATGTAACTCTGCAGCAGCTAGATGTCAGCTTGCTTGACCAGCAAAATCAATCCGAGCGACTTCAGCAAAACTGCTACTAGTAGTATGTAATGTAACTCTGTATACGATATAGTTGATTTGATCCAGATGGAAGAATTCAAATACGTAGTAGATTGTGGCAACAATGACATGGCCCTGGTTACAAGTTTACAACCTTTGATACAGAAAAAGGTTCAGTTCAATACATGATTCAGAGGGCTCTCTGCCTCGCCGGAGACCGTCTTCTAATGGGAATTCCCCATGCTCCTACAATTGCAATGGCAAATCCAAGGCCAAATCCTATTCCAGAAAAGAGGAACAGCATAACATCTACAGATTTCTTCTCGGAAGGTATCACATTCGGCAATGTCATGTTGCTGCAGCCTTTAGATAGAGGAGGGCCACATAAAGCATCATTCCCAAGAAATGAACTATTGGCGAATAACGAAAAATGAAGCGATTCTGGTATTTTCCCCTCCAGCCTGTTGTAGGATAGATTTAGCATTCCGAGGAAGTCCAAGGATGGTAATTCCTGTGGAATGACACCTGAAAGCTCATTTGAAGATAGGTCCAAAGCCTCCATCTGCTTTAGACGGCCGAGTTGAGATGGAATTGGTCCTGTCAGTGAGTTGTGTGACATGTTGAGCGTATGTAGCAGAACTAGCTCTCCCATAGATTTAGGGATGCTTCCGTGGAATGCGTTATCCGAGACATCAAGGAATACAAAGGTTCTTAGTATTTTCTCCATCATGATGGTAGACCCTTTGTTTGTGAGCACAGTGGTCACTTGGTAGATTTGCTTTTGATCACCTTCATATTCCATCACTGATGTTTCATTACCAAAATCAGTTATCATAGACTTTAGTCTTGTAAACCATTCTTCTTTCAGTGTGCCTGAGAGGTTGTTTCTTGATGCCTTGAAATAGGTAGTACCTCTGAGTTGAGTAGAAATATTTGGTAGTATGGACGAGAAATGATTGTTTGAGTAATCAAGAACGGTCCCAGAATCTCTGGGTAGAGGTATTGGCCCCTCAAACATGTTAAAACTAAGATCTAACAGTTCAATATAAAAGGGTAGGGAGACATCATATCCAACACTAGTAAATTTGTTGTGTGAAAAGTTCAAAAAGAAAAACCCAAAGTCCATTTCTCCCATGCCCAAAGGGGTATGGCCCCTTGGATTTGGTTATGTGAAAGATCAATGCCATTAATCTCATAATCTATATGCCTCAAAATGTTCGGAAATCTAGTTATGTTACAGGACGCCAAGCTCAAGTAATCAATATCTGGGTAGGATACCTGAGAAGAATTATTTTCACCGTCTATTACACTTAATTTGTTGTATGAGAGGTTTAAGTCAGATAGGTTTCTTAGTATCTGGAATGAGGCAAGTTCGACGGTGCCAACAAAATTATTCGAGCAAAGATGGATGGTATCCAATTGTGTTAAATTGAAGATATGTCGAGGTATTTCCCCCCAAAAGTTGCAGTCATAGAGTGCTAATTTTGTCAACTTTTTTAAATCTCCAATAGAAGATGGTAGAGTTCCATATAAGCCACAATGGGAAAACTCAAGGACCACCAAGGAAGTTAAGTTTGTGACCCATTGGGGAAACAATCCTACTATCTCTAGACCGGATACCTTCAATGAGTTCAAGGATGTAAGCTTACCTATTGATGATGGCAGGTCTCCAAAAAACCCACTTGCATCAAGGCCCAGCTCTTTAAAAGATTTGAGGTTGCTAATGGAACTTGGTATTGTACCAGAGAAGTTGGTGTGACCAACAAGCAAACTCTCCAAGCTACTGCCGACAAGGAAATTAGGCAAAGTACCAGATAAGACGGGATTTCTGTGAAGATCAATAACCACCAGTTTCTTGTTCTGAAAGATTAAAGGAGATACCCATCCTTCTAGGTTATTATACCTGAGCTGGAGAACAGTCAAAGAGGAGAAGTTGTTAAAGGACTCTGGAACTGGACCAGTCAAAAAGTTGTATTGTAGGTCAATCACTGATAGTGAGCGCAAGCGAGAGAGCGATTCACAAATGGGGCTAGAGAGCTGGCAAAACGGCAAGCTAAGAACATGGAGATTTGGAGTATAATTGGCTAGAGCATTGCACTACTCGGTTTGCTGCTCGGATATGTCCAGGAAGCCAAGATGCAGCTCCTTCAAACCGCTAAGGTTTGCAACTAAGGTTGTAAAATTTTGTAGATTGAGCTGCCATGGGTGAGTGAAATCACCTCCAAACAAATAACTCCCGTCAAATACCTCAAGGGAAGTGCTTCTATGCTTCTTAAAAAAAAAACTGCACGAAAGTTAAAGCACGTCAATGGTGAGGATTAAAAGTTGATTAACCGAGTAATCACCATTAGCAAGGGGCAATTTCGTCCAGAAGTAAAAGCCCATATCCGTATCCACATCCCTTCTCATGGATTGATTCGCGGCCAGCGCGCGGCAGTTCTCACGACGCATTCCGGTGAACAGCGCCGCACGCCCGCACCCTTTCCTTCGCCGAGAAGCGTCCTCTACCCCCTGTAACTGTAAGAGTGTTTTCCCCTTCCGCTACTAACCACGCCGTCGCTGCTTCCTTCACCGGCGAGCTCTCTCCTTCGGGGAGCTGCGTGTTGACGTGTTGTGTAGGTGGTGCTCGTCGTCGTGCTTTCAGGTTCGTCAATAGTCTCGTGGTTCAGGAAACATGGCTGGTTGGCTGATTCATTGAGCACAACACCCTCACTCACCATTATCAACACCTTATTCTGCTTCTTCATGATTCTCGGCAGAGATTGCCAAAGCTTCCATGTCCATTTTATTCCTCAGTATATGGTGATACCTGATATGCATTCAGAATTGAACTGAACTTAACACAAGGCTGATCACAATCTTTTGAATTTACATAGAATTGGTTGTATGCGCTGATCCTATCCGTCTCGGACTGTTCGCGGCCGCGTGCCTATATATAAACTGCGTCGGCTTCTTACCGGCCGCACGAAGAATCGATGGCGATGGAGATTATGCAACAGCTCGCCGCCGCCGCCACGGCAACGGCCCTGTGCCCTGAACCATCTCTGATGGCGATGACGACGGCCGGCGCAGATGGAGGCCGCCATCGCGACGCTGCATGGCAAGAAGCAACGCCTCCGCGAGGCCTGCGACAGCCTCGTCCTCCACTCGCCCATCCTCCTCCCCTTCCGCTGGTCCGACCTCGACTCCCACCTCTCCTCCCTCCAGTCCTCCATCCACGCCCGCTTCAGCTAGCTGCAGGCCCTCCAGGCTTCCCGCCCCGCGGCCCCCGCCGCCGCCGGGAGCCATGGCGAGGACGTCCAGGAACAGGGAGAGGACGAAGTGATGGCAGCGGCGGCGGCGGAGATGGTCCCTCCGTTTACGGTGCTGCAGGTCAAGGAGAGGAGCCCGCGGAGGCGCCGGCATGCGCGAGCATGGACGCCACAAGGCTGTCGTCGAATGCCGCCGGCAAGCGTGCCGGCGTCGGGCAAGATGGGTTCGTTCGACCCGGTGGGATGGCGGTGCCGGCGGCGGCGGCGAAGATGGCGCCTCCGTCAAAGGTGCAAGTCAAGGAGGAACCAGTCGATTCTGATATGCGGACAGGGTGGGCTAGATATGGTCAGCTTTTTCTTAGGACAAAATTACCCCTCGTTAAAGGGGATTACTCTGTTAATCAACTTTTAATCCTCACTGTTGATGTGCTTTAATTTTCGTGCAGGTTTTTTTTAAAGAAGCATAGAAGCACTTCCCATATCTCAATTATTTCGGAGTGAAAGGAAATGTCAAGAGAGACCAAATTTGTGAGTTGACCGATACTTTGTGCAGGCACCTGACCAGCGAAGTTGCAGGTGGAGAGGTTAAGATGGGTGAGATTATTTAGCCGCTCGAACCCGGTGGATGGAATTTCAGACACATTGAAGTCATTTCCGCCCAGGTTAAGATATTCTAGAGAAATCAGCTCGAAAAGCGCCGGGTCGAGACGGCTGCTCTCCAAGCCACAGTCCCCCAAATCAAAGCCATGTCACGCGGCCGTCAGCGTCACCACAGCGGACGCCTTCCCACAGGCAGCAGTCCTCGCCGGCCTTCCATGATCGGAAGGCGGCAGTGGAGTTGTTTGTGACAGAGAAGGACCTTTTCAGTTGGAGCAGAGCCGCTGCCTGGTCAGGTAAGCATAGAACCATTGGTGAGAGGGCTCCGGTGTGATTGGTGTACGTAGCTGCTGATGAAGGAATGAAGAGGTGGAGGAGGTGGATGTGTAGGAGCAGCAGCGACGGCAAGAACAACGTTTTTACTGGGGAGGCCACCATAATAGCAGCTTAGTTTGATTGCGCTAACTGTAGAGATACAGTTGAGTGTAGCTCTACTTCTACCTTGCTCCCTCATTTTTATACACGAATTAGATACCTTTGCCTTGGTAAAAAAGAGAGAAGAAAGAGGATCAACCGGCCAGTCACGGGTCGAGGACATCTAGTGAGAATGATTTACAGGAAATATCAACTAATCAACACGAGGTAATGGATCAAATTTTTCAAAGGGTCGTCATCCTGATTAATTTCCTGAAGTTTAGCAACTTGGTAAACGGTAAACGGTAATTATCCCAATCAGCATGCAGGGGTAACATTCATACGCAACGTTCTACGCACGGCCTTCCTGCAGCCATGGGCCGCATGATGGAAGTTTACAGCGAGAACAACTTGTGGGCCGGAGAAAATTAATGTACCAAGTTGAAAGGGCCGAATAATCAACGGCCGGGAGCAAAGCTCCCTACATTCTCACAACGATCTCAATCGACCGATCAATTCCAAGGCTATACTACTAGGCTAGTTTTATTTACCTGTTCGGCTGTTCCAACATCAGCGTGGTCGTGAGCGTTGATCAACTCCGTTTAGTTACATTTATGATAGATATCATAAAAACGTATCATGTTTGAAAACACCATAAAAATAGTAATTTGTTAGAGGACACTTTCGACTCAAATTGAAGAGCAAAATTCTTCAAAAAAGACGAGAATGCCACTAGAGTCAAAAGCTTTTAAGTTGAGACTAGAGTGGAGATGTAATATGATGTATTTGGGGTGGTGGCAAATTAATTTGGAGTTGCATAATTTCTAAAATTTTACTCTAACGTCATGTTTAAAGCATGTGGTTCTGAGGGTATTCTTGTCTTTCTTAAGAATATATCTCTCCAATTGAGTTCTTTTGCAAATTATTAGTTTTTTTAAGGTTTTTACGATGTTTCCTAGTAAATTACACAAATTTTGAGCGCCACAAGTAGCAAAATATACTTACATCTGCAGACGTCGCTGGTTTGAGAGCACGACCCCAACGACTAATGACGGTCGTGTCACGTACGTTTTACGTATGGAAATTGCCTCTTCTTTTCCCGGTTTGAGAAGGCAACATTATGCTCCCTTTTTCTTTGAGATTTTTTTCAAGAAGCATAAGAGATCTTCATGAACAACAAGTAATCATCAATCATTGATTCAACGAGTGCCCTTGCATAACTAGATGCAACCCCCGGCGTTACTATAGAATATGTAGTTAAAAATAGTTGCTACCAAACTAACTATGTTAAAATGAAAATATATACTAGAAGATATTGAAAGATAAGCGAGGAAAAAACAAGATGGGAGTATGTCTAGTCCTAACATCCATTCCTTGTCCCTCCCACAGTAGTAAAGATATAGAATACCCACACCCTTCTGGTTGCTTTCAAGAACATTGCAGAAATAAACAATTACCATAAATATATGGTGAAGCTCTTTCTTCATTATAGTTCTGGTCTCGAGTACAAGTTAACCATATATGTCTTATCCCGTCCCTCTTTATATAGAGGTCTTAGAAGGAGATAAATTCTATCTTTACTCCGATTTAGAATTGGTAAAAAAAAAATTCCCAACATATATTATTCCGTAACACTAACATCCATTTTAGGGCCTGTTCACTTTGATGCCAAAAAAAACCTTATCAAATTTGCATAGTTACCAAAATTTTGGTAACTTGCCAAAATTTTGGCATGATTTCTTATATAGTTACTAAAATTTAGCAACAAACTAAATGTAGCCACTTTTTTTGGTAACTTTACCAAAATTTGGTAAGGTTGAAAATGACATCAAAGTGAACAGGCCCTTAGACTTTCTTAGAATTTACGATAGGCCATGAGCATCAACAGTCCTTTTCTGTAGGTATGGTAATCTATGAGTAAGTGTTTGAGGAACATGTTGATCCAATAACTGAGATGACGTGGCTTAACGTGGATGCTGCTTTATAACAATTATTTCTTAAACCGATTATAGTATATAGAATGAAAGGTACATGCAAGTTTCTACCTTTTTTTTTAAGATAATGAATAAAATCTGGCCTTCACTTCAATAAAAACTGCATCCAATTATTACACAATTGTCGGTTTAAAGCCCCTTCAAAAAAGTAGCTGCCATAAAATAAAATGAAAGAATGCAACATAGAAGTGATTGCTGGGCTGTTTTCTAATTGATATAGCACCGTTTGGGTTGCATTTCTCTACTACAGTAAAAGAAGTCATCCCTCCGTCGTCCACCGCATGTGTGTAGTATGAGAGCCAAAGGAAATGAAAAAAAAAACAGTTGGATCCGGTGGTTTATGATTAATCCATAGTCCAACCTATTCCTAATCATACGGCCATGTGTCCCATCCTTAATCTCAAATATCCGTTACAAAATAATGCATGATCATATTACTATTTGCTGAAAAAAAGGCCACCAACGTAACTACATCGATCAGCTAGCCGGTGACAAAAAAAACTGTTGAGAAACGCCCGGAGATTTTTGAGCTAGCTCCACGAGGTAATGGGCTAGACGACCTGGTTCGAAGTCTCACCCCTTCTAATTATTTGATATTAGGTTTTTCTCTAATATTTTAAAAAATAAAACTGTAACACATCATCTTCATTTTTTGGGAGGGGGGATAGTTAGTGGCTTGGCACGCGTGCGCTGGCTTACTCGACTAATCTGGGTTTCTTCTTCTTATTTTTTTTATCAACAACGGATGCTAACGCCATCAGTATTCCACATCAACTGCATAGTATCCCACATTTTTCTCATTTGAAAAACATGCCACCGGCACTAACTTGTACTTCCTCCGTTCATAATACAAGTCATTTTAGCATTTTTCACACTCATATTGATGTTAATGAATCTAGATAGGATGTGAAAAATGCTAAAATGACTTACATTATGAAACGGAGGGAGTAGCGCTTAGTGAGGAGCTGCAAAGCTGCAGTATAGTGAACTTCCTGGTGTTGTTCTATCTGAAAAATATGAATTATCTTCGACGTTACGTTGTTGATCCTGCAGGCTGCAATTGATGATCAACATCCAGACGCATTGATGATCTCATGGTCATTGTGTACGGGATGACCTAATCGTAAGTAGTACCACAAGTTCTGGGATTAAACGCCCGAGCAGATGAACATTGTCAGCTCAGCAATGTTGCGTTGCATCCTCATCGCATCCGTCGGGCCTGATCGTTTGGTATATTCATATGTTTATCAGCTAAAATTTAAATTTTCAACGTTAAATTTAAAGCTGATTTTAGGGTTTTTTTCATCGAAGTTTATTTTTCAGCCTTTACTTTTAGATCGCTAAGAACACATATATAAAAGTTTTATTCACAAATTGATTTTCGTTTGCAAATATGCCATTTGGCATATTCAGAAAATATGCCAAACAATGAGGCTGGTCGCATCCTAGGCGGCGGTTGCGGAAAAGCGATGGGTGGTAAGCGGCGGAGCTAATTGGCGCGTAGGCGCGCGCGTCGGCGCTTTTTTTTTTTTACTTTTTTTTCCATTTAGCTGTAATACCGTTGGTTTTAGCGTATAAAAAATCTATTAGTTAAGATAATTAAGATAAGATTTGTTTTTTTTCTAAAGATTTTTTTAAGTAACAGATTGAAAAGAAATTTATACGTGAAGTCAAATTCTGAAAACTTTTAACTTAAATTTGAAAACTTTCAACTCGAAATTTGATTTTTTAAGTCAAATTTTGAAAACTTTCAACTTTTCATCTCAAATTTGAAAAACTTTCAACTCAAATTTAAAACTTTCAACCCAGATTTGAAAACTTTCAACTCAAATTTAAAATCTTTTAACCTAGATTTGAAAACTTTCAACTTAAAATTAAAAACTTATTAAAAACTTTCAACCCAGATTTGAAAACTTTCAACCTAAATTTTGAAAACTTTTAAGTCAAGATTTAAAATATTTCAAGTCAAAATTAAAAACTTTCAATTCTAACATTTGTAAAGAGGTATACAGAAGATTGAAAAAAAAACAGAAAGAAACGGTGAAAAAAAACGCAACGCCAAAATCAGAAAAAAAAAAGCGAAAAAAAAAGAGCTTAGGAAAAAAAAAAAGGTGCCGGAAGGGGGCGCAAAATCGCTGGCGCGTACGCGCGCGCTGGGAGCACCCGGTGGCAAGGCGCCAACGATAGTCATGAGAGCACTTTCATGGGCCGAAATTGCTGAAAAAATGGGCTTTAATTACTGGAGGCCACTACCGGGCCATCATGTTACGGCCCAGCCCAACCAGTTGGTAGACTTGACCCCATTCGCCTGCCTTCATTTTTCACCTCGTCGACGCCTCATCCCTCTTCGAACTCCCACATCGTGCACCGGATTTCCCTATAGCTCGCCGGCGAGAAAACGTGACCCGTCGGAGCTAGAAGGCGGCGACATGGAGCTGAGGGCAAGTCTCACTGACCATCCTGTCTATCATGGAGACGTTGCAGGAGCGAATCAATCCTGCTACTCCGCTGCACGTCGTCGCTCTCTACCTTCCGCCTGGTACGTGTTCGACGGAATGCGCCTGTGCGGTTGCACGGCATTGGTGAGAGCAAATTGCACATATCGTCCTGTCGGTTTGGTGCGTGACTAGTTTTGCCTTCTCTGTAGTACATTTTCAGGTGACATCATCTAACTTTGCAAATCCAGCATGTGTTCTGGCTCCGATTTTAATCATTGATCTTGAAGCTGGAGAGATGGGGACAAAGCAATCAAGTTTTTCCATGTGACCAGCATCGTCTTACTCATCAGGTGATTCTGCCACCTTAAGTTACAATTTAGACAGTAATTAAAGTCGAATTACATTGCATTGTTCGTTAAAGAGTAGATTCATACAAGCTCATACACACCGCATGTGCGCAATACTAAGTTACGGTATTACTGGTGGAACGAGAAATGTTCCAGTTCTAGCGTTTCGCTCTCCAAAACAACGGCCACTCTAAAACCGATTCCAAACCCAGCTGCTTCGTGGGAGCTAAGCTGCTGAAGCTAGATTTCAGCTTGCTTGGGCAGCAAATCAATCATAGTATCCAATTATCCAGTGCTATTAGTTGACAAAGCACTACAGCGTTGTGTGATCGTGACGCCTATTAGGCTGTCTTTGAGAGAAGGAGGAAGAAGAAGATACGCAAAACAAGATGAATCATTAGCACATAATTAATTAAGTATTAATTATTTTAAATTTAAAAATAGATTAATATAATTTTTTAAAAGAAATATAGGAAATTTTTAGAAAAAGACCATATCGAAGTTAATATGAGCACGGAAAACAAGTGACTTCTGTCTGTATCATGTCCTCTCCAACGCTGCTAGTCTGTCATGGATTGGCAGCACGCTATCCTGGACGTCATTGTTTCCAGTTTGAACTTGGATTTGACGCAGTCTTTTGACTCACTCTAGGCTGATATTTCTCTTCTCAACAGAGGCGTCCGTGGAACAACATCTCAGGTGTGCTCTGTCAAAAGCAAAATTCGCTCTTGTTTTGACCTGTAAGCAAAAATTGTTTCTTTTTGACTAGTATAAGCAGATACAGAGATACTCCATTGCCTATAAATCACACGTACTAACTGGCGGGGTTGTGTCATCTTGTCTATGGTAGTTCAGCAATCCTCTGCTTTTGTCAGTTGTAGTTCACAACGATCGAGCATCCGGCCATGGCGTTGAACCCGCTGTTCACCGTGACGTTCAACGTGAGCGGCAGCGGCAGCGACAACTACGGCGACTTCATCGCCGGCATCCGCAAGAGGGTGGCCAACCCGAGGCACTTCTCCCACAACCGCCCCGTCCTCCCGCCGGTGGAGCCCGACGTCCCGCCGCGCCGCTGGTTCCACGTCGTGCTCCGGACGCAGACCAGCGAGCTCACGCTCGCCACGCGCGCCGACAACCTCTACCTGGAGGGCTTCCGCGGCAGCGACGGCACCAGCGCGTGGTGGGAGCTCACCCGCGGCCTCATCGCCGGCGCCACCTACCTCGGCTTCGGCGGCTCGTACCGCGAGCTCCTCGGGCACACGGACAACATGGTCGGTGTCACGCTCGGCCCGCAGCAGATGACGCAGGCCGTGGACACGCTCGCCGGTCTCGCCGCCAGCGGCGGCGGCGCGGCGCGGCAACGGGCCGGCGAGGCGTTGGCGACGCTGCTCCTGATGGTGAACGAAGCCGTGCGTTTCCTGACCGTGGCGGAGCTTGTGGGCGGCTTCATGAACCCCAGGGCGGTGAGGAAGAGCGGGACGATCACCGCCGACATGAAGGAGCAGGTGAACGGGTGGAAGGTCTTGTCCAGGGCGCTGCTCACCATGGACGCGCTGCAGCTAGAGGACTCCAACTCGGCGTCCAAGCACAACAAGGTGGATACAAAGAAGATGGAGCAGGAGAAGAAGGCGTGGGAGGCGGCGGAGAAGTTGGCCGTGGAGGCGGCCAAGGCGGTGGGGATCCTGCTGTTCGTCGAGAAGGTGCCGGCCGGGATGACGAAGGCGACGGCGCTTCAGCTGTTTCATGGGAACTAAAGTTGCTGCTGCTGGTAGATTTCAGCTTGCTTGATCGAACAGCAAATCAATCTGAGCGACTCGAGTAAAATTGATTCTCCCTCCAACCCAAAATATAAGTATTTTCAGTTATTAATCTGGACAACTGCGTGTCCAGATACATAGACAAAAGTTGTTATATTTTGAGACGGTTGTTATATTTTGGGACGGAGGCAGTAGTTAAATAGCCTCTATAGTGTGATGTAACTACTATATACTCCCTTCGTCCCAAAAAAGACAAACACTGGTCTCCGTGTCCAACGTTTGACTGTCCGTCTTATATGAAATTTTTTTATAATTAATATTTTCATTGTTGTTAGATGATAAAACATGATTAATAATTTATGTGTGACTTGTCTTTTTAATTTTTTCATAATTTTTTTAAATAGACGGACGGTCAAACGTTGACACGGAAACTCAGGGTTTGTCTTTTTTTTTAATGGAGGGAGTATGTATATGATGTGTGTATCGATCCTAGATTCCTACCTCTCCGTCCCAAAAAAAAATCCAATCCTAGCTACGAACCTAGACACACGCGTGTCCAGGTTCATAGCCAGAGTTTGGGTTTTTTTGGATAGACTAGTACACTGTAACTCAAAAATAAAGATAGCAGCAATGGTCAGTTTGCTCCAGATTCCAGCAAATCAATCCTAGTGACTTGTACTATAACTCAAAAATAAAGATAGCAGCAATGGTCAGTTTGCTCCAGATTCCAGCAAATCAATCCTAGTGACTTGAGTATAGTTTGCGACAACAATGGCACTATGGCACAGCCTTGATTACAAATATACTGCAAGTGACGTTGATACAGAAAAGTTCATTTTAATACAGAATTCAGAGAGCTCTCCGACCTACTGGAGACCGTTTTCTGATGGGAATTCCCCCATGCTATTGCAATTGCAATGGCAAATCCAAGGCCAAATTCCAATCCAGAAAAGAGGAACCGCACAATGGCTGTGTTTAGTTCCTTAGGCCGTGTTTAGATCCAAAGTTTTTCTTCAAACTTTCAACTTTTTCATCACATCAAAACTTTTCTACACACACAAACTTTAAACTTTTCCGTCACATCGTTCCAATTTCAACCAAACTTTCAATTTTAGCGTGAACTAAACACAGCCTAAGTTTGAAGTATACAAACACACATTTGAAGTATTAAACGTAGACTAATAACAAAATAAATTACAGATTACGCATGTAAACTGCGAGACAAATTTATTAAGCCTAATTAACCCGTCATTAATAAATATTTACTGTAACACCACATTGACAAATCATGGCGTAAATAGTCTCAAAAGATTCGTCTCGCAATTTACATGTAAACTGTGTAATTAGTTTTTTTTGTCCACATTCAATGCTTCATGCATGTGTCAAACATTTAATGTGACGGAATTTTTGGATGAGCCTGAGTTGATTCTGGTATTCTTCCCACCAGCTTGTTGTATGACAGATCCAGTGTTGTGAGGAAGTGCAACGATGCGGAAGAAAATTATGTAGGATGGAGGTCCTACCCTCATCCGAAAGATTTAATTCCTCTGTACGACACCTGTCCCCGCACGAATCACAAGACAGGCTTACTCTCCTTATCCTTTTGCCTTCTGTTCCTGTATAGATGGGGCTAAAACTTTTAAGTCCCTATCACATCAGATGTTTAAAAATTAATTATAAATATTAAACGTAGACTATTAATAAAACCAATCCATAATCTTGGACTAATTCGCGAGACAAATCTATTGAGCCTAATTAATCAATGATTAGCCTATGTGATGCTACAGTAAACATTCTCTAATTATAGATTAATTAGGCTTAAAAAAATTGTCTCGTGAATTAGCTTTTATTTATATAATTAATTTTATAAGTAGTCTATATTTAATACTATAAATTAGTGTCTAAATATAGAGACTAAAGTTAAGTCACTGGATCCAAACACCACCTCATTCTCATGCTCTTCTCGGCGAGACGGCGAGGCGTCGAGCTCGCGGCTGTCGCTGTTGCGGGCATCGAGCGGGATTCGCGATGTGGCAGAGAAACTCAGCAGCATCCATGCTCGCATGAGTCGCTGCTCGGGAAGAATCGTCAAGACATCAACATATTATAATCCTGAAAGACTCAAATACAAAGAAATCTTTGAAGGCTCAATCAAGTTCAATCACCAGCAAAGATAATCAGTGCAATGCACCATACAGACTAAACTCAATGGCAAGCAAAATCTAATCGTTGAATAATTTCATCGTGGGGCAACTCTTTGCAGTTTCAAGGAGCAGAGTCGAATCGATCATCGATGACACACCTTCTTCCAAATCTTGAGATATCTTCTACAAGCAGGCCGGAAGCACGAGCTTGATGCCTTGATTCTAATTCCTGGCTGCCCTCATGAGCTCGATGCTGCGGGGCGCCGCCGCGTGGGTGGTCGGACGGGCCCGAGCTCGACGCCTCGCCAGGAGCGAAAGAACGAGTAACCGAAGAGACACGAGGGAGATTGAGGGAGTAAGCATGCGCTGTGATTCGTGCGGAACAGGTGTCGTGCAGAGCAACAAAGTCCTTCGGATGAGGGTAAGACTTCAGTCTTATATAATTTTCTTCCCGTTTAAGGACAGGTCCAAAGCCTCCATCTGGTTTAGACGGCACAAGTTAATGAGTTGTGCGACACGTTTTTTTTACTTTTTAAAGAACGATATTTTTTTTACCTAGCAACTGCTTATATACGGTATTTTAAAAATGAAAAGTTAACCTTTTAAATAATTCAATCTAAATTTCGCTATTATAAAGATTTGAACTCAACATTATGTTGAGGTAAGTCAGGCTTTACATGGCCTTTCGCAGTTTTGTGACATGTTGAGCGTGTTTAGCATAACTAGCTCTCCAATAGGTTCAGGAATGCTTCCATGGAATGCATCCACGGGGTGGATGCACCGGCGGACGAAGGGTCTCAAACCGGCCATCCTCGTGGCGAGCGGTGGTCACGGTCGCATCTACCTGCGCGCCAAGGGCAAAGTGGTACTCGCCGCCGTCACACGCCCTGTGTCCGGCGCCCCGACGCCGCTCGCCGTCCGTCCTCGCCGACCCCATTTGCCTGCCACTTTTTTTCTCACCTCGTCGGCGTCTCATCCCACTTCGACAACTCTGCCAATTCCCACCACACCTAAATTCCAGCACCCACTCCACCAACTGTACCGTGCACCGGATTTCCCCAATCCCGCCGCTACGTGTATCTCTCCGGCGAGAAAATGTGACCCGTCGGAGCTAGAAGGCGGCGACATGGAGCTCGATCAGGGCAAGTCTCAGTGACCTTCCTGTCATCATGGAGACGTTGCAGGAGCGAATCAATCCTGGCATCCTGCTGCTGCGCTGCACGTCGTCGCGCTCTACCTTCCGCTTGGTACGTGTTCGACGGAATGCGCCTGTGCAGTTGCACAGCACAGGTGAGAGCAAATTGCACATATCGTCCTGTCGATTTGTTGCGTGAGTAGTTTTTCCTTTTCTGCAGTACATTTTCAGGTGACATCATCTAGCTTTGCATATCCAGCATGTGTTCCCGCACCCGATTAATCATCGGTCTTGAAGCTGGAGAGATGGGGACAAAGCAATCAAGATTTTCCACATGACCAGCATCGTCTCACTCATCAGGTGATTCTGCCACCTTAATTTACAGTTTAGACTACAATTGAAGTCGAATTATATTGCATTGTTCGTAAAAGAGTAGATTCATACAAGCTCATACACACCGCACGCGCTCACTACTAAATTAGGAGTACAGTATTACTGGTGGAGCGAGAAATGTTCTAGTTCCAGCGTTTCGCTCACCAGAACAATGGCCACTGTAAAGCCGATTCCAAACCCAGCTGTTTCGTGGGAGCTAAGTTGCTGAAGCTAGATTTTGCTTGAGCAGCAAATCAATCATAGTAAAATTGCTAGTATGTAAATTTGTATATGACGTATACTTCGAAAGAAAAATCTGTATATAATGCGTGTATCCTAGTGACTTGTGTATCTCTAAAGTAATTAAATAAGCATAACACCATTATCATTTTAACACCCGTAATCGATTATCTCGAGATAGAAGATTCAAATATATATTAGCTTGATTCAAATATATATTAGCTTGCTACAACAATGACATGGTCCTGATTACAAACGAACTGCAAATGACCTTGGTACAGGAAAATTTCTTTTAGTACATAATTCAGGGGACTCTCTGCCCTAGTAGCGACCATTTTCTAATGGGAACTCCCCATGCTATTACAATTGCAATTGCAAATCCAAGGCCAAATCCCAATCCAGAAAAGAGGAACAACACAATGTCTATAGATTTCCTGTCAGAAAGTGTAACATTCAGCGTCATGTTGTCACATCCTTTTGACAATGGAGGGCCACACAAACCATCATTCCCTAGAAACGAGTTGTTCAGGAATGTTGAGAATTGAGTTGACTCTGGTATTCTTCCCACCAGCCTGTTGTAGGACAGGTTCAGTGTTGTGAGGAAATGCAACGATGCTAGCTCCTGTAGAATCACTCCTGAAAGCTCGTTTGAGGACAGGTCCAAAGCCTCCATCTGGTTTAGATGGCTAAGTTGAGTTGGAACCGGCCCTGTTAATGAGTTGTGTGACATGTTGAGCGTGTTTAGCAGAACTAACTCTCCAATAGCTTTAGGGACGCTTCCATGGAATGCATTATTCGAGACATCAATGAATACAAAAGTCCTTAGTATTTTATCTATCCTCATGGTAGATCCTTTGTATGTGAGCACAGTGGTAACTTGGTAGACTCGTTTTTTATCACCTTTATATTCCATCACTGATGTACCATTAACTGAGTCAATCATCATGGACTTCAATCTTGTAAACCATTCTTCACTCAATGTGCCTGAAAATTTGTTGGAGGCTAGATCCAGGATACATAAACTAGGAAATTCACAACTGCTGTCTTCGCCAACAGAAGGTGCCACTTGTCCAAAGAACTTGTTAGATTTCAAGACAAGGACTTGGAGTCTAGGAAATGCACTCATCCAACAAGGAAAATAGTCAGCGATATGATTGTTTTGGATATCAAGGACCTCCAATTTTCGGCAAGAAGCAATAGATCTAGGCAAATTTCCTTCAATCCTATTGTCACTAAAGTCTAGTGCCTCCAATGTGCAACTTTCGTTGAAATAATGTGGTAGTTCTCCATGAAGTTGATTTTGTTTCAGATTTAGTACTTGTAATGCACCGGCAACCTCGATCAGGCAAGGAGGAATTGATCCACTAAAAAAATTGAAAGAGAGATCAAGAAACTGTAGTTTATTACTACAAAAGGATGTTGGAATGTCTCCGGAGATGTTGTTTCTTGATGCCTTGAAATAGGCAGTATCTCTAAGTTGAGTAGAAATATTTGGTGGTATGGACGAGAAACGGTTGTTTGAGTAATCAAGCACCGTTCCAGAGTTTTGGGGAAGTGGTATTGGCCCCTCAAACTTGTTAAAACTGAGATCCAACATTTCTACACCAAAAGGAAAGATGGTGTGGCCAACCCTAGTGAATTCATTGTGTGACAAGTTCAAAAAGAAAAATTGAGCATCTTTCCAGTTCTCCCATGCCCAATGGGGTATGGCCCCTTGGATATGGTTATGTGAAAGATCAATGCCATTCACTTCATTCTTGTTTAGATGTTTCAAAATGTTCGGAAATCTAGTCATGTTACAAGATGACAAACCCAAGTACCCTATGTTGGGGAAGGATGTGAGTGAAGAATTGCTTTCTCCATTTATTACAGTTAATTTGTTGTGTGAGAGGTTTAAGTCAAATAGGTTTGGTAGTGTCAAGAATGAGGCAAGTTCGACTGTGCCAGTAAAACTATTTGAATGAAGAAAGATGGTATCCAGTTGTGTTAAATTGAATATATGTCGAGGTATTTCCCCAAAAAGATTGCAGGCATATAGTGCTAACTTTGTCAATTTTGTCAGGTCTGCAATAGAAGAAGGTATCGTTCCGTGTAAGCCACAATTGGAAAACTCAAGGACCTCCAAGGAAGTTAAGTTTGTGATCCATTTGGGAAACGACTCTACTACCTCTAACCCAGAGATCTGCAATGAATTCAAATGTCTAAGCGTACCGATTATTGAGGGTAACTCTCCAGAAAAACCACTTGCATCAAGGCCTAGCTTCTTCAAAGATTTGAGGTTGCTAATGAAACTTGGTATCGTACCAGAGAAGTTGGTGTGACCAACAAGCAAAATCTCCAAACTACTATCCACGGGAAAATCAGGCAGAGTACCAGATAATCCAACATTTCTGTGAAGATCAATAGCCACTAGCTTCTTCTTCTGAAAGATTAAAGGAGGGACCCATCCTTCAAGGTGATTAAAGCTAAGCTGGAGAACACTCAAGGAGGATAAGTTGGCAAAGAAATCTGGAAACCGACCCGTCAAACCACTGAACTGCATGTCAATAACTGACAGTGAGCGCAAGTTGGAGAGCGACCCGCAAATGGGGCTAGATAACCAGCAAAAGGGCAGGCTGAGAACACGAAGATTTTGAGTATACATGCCTAAAGCATTGCACCAGTCAGCTTCTTGGTGTGATAGGTCAAGAAAGCCAAGACGAAGCTCCTCCAAATTGCTAAGATTTGCAACCAAGGCTGTCAAGTTCGGCAGGACGAGCTGCCATTCGTGAGAGTATGCACCGGTATATAAGTAACCCATATCGAATAGTTCAGTAACTTTGAAACGAAAGGAGAGGTCAAGGGAGATCAAATTTGTGAGCTGACCAATGCTATGCACAGGCACTTGGCCTGCGAAGTTGGACGAGGAGAGGTTCAGATGGGTGAGCATACTCAACCGCTCGAAGCCAGTGAATGGGATTTCGGACAGGTTGAAGTCATTTCCGGCCAGGTTGAGATACTCCAGGGAATTCAGCTTGAAAATCACCTGATCGAGGTGGCCACTCTTCAAGCCACGGTCACCCAAATCAAGCCATGTCACGCGGCCGCCGGCGGCGGCGGTGCCGCCGCCGCCGCAGCGGACGCCTTCCCACCGGCAGCAATCCTCGCCGGCGTTCCATGACCGGAGGGCGATCACGGACTTGTTGGTGATGGAGAAGGATCGTTTCAGTCGGAGCAACGCCGATGCCTGGTCCGGCATGCATGGAACCGCCGACGGCGGCACTCCGGTGTGGTTGGTGTACGTAGCTGATGTTGCTGATGAAGAAGGGACAACGAGCTGGGTGTGTAAGAGGAGGAGCAGCAATGTCATGAACAATAGCTTGTAACGGGTCATTGTGGAGGGCATAATAGCAGCTTAGTTTGATTGGGTTAGCTACTTATCTGCTATAAGTAAGAGCTTAGAATTGGGTCAGGTGTATGGAGGGAGGATTCTACTGTACTCACTAGTCTTTGTGTACAACTTATTTAGCCAAAAAATCAAGGAAACAACACTCAAAATTTTCAGAGTCATCATCCAAAAGAAGTTACTCGTCTTATCGCATACGCCGGTAAAAAAAAATAATAATTTCTTTATCCGATAGGTTTTGAACTTCTGACGAGTAGTCTACTACCGCAATTGAAATGGTCGGTAGTCTACATATGGACGTTTGAAGTTGTTGACGAGTAGTCTACATATGGACGAATTACGTCTCGATATACGAATTTAGGAAGTTGAAATGGCCAAGTAGTCAAGGGTGGTGACAAATTCCAAGCACGTGCTCACAACGATCGCAATCGATCGATCAAAAGTCAAGGGATGGTTTTACTTTTGTTTTGCCTACTCCTCACCTCAACACCCTCTCAGGTATCCCCAGCCGCAGCAGTTGGTGCCGGTCAGCCATGGCCAGAAGGCATTGCTGGACTGATAGTCGCCACCACTATTTGTTTATCGCCAGGCCGACGAAAGTTACTTCGGCCGAAATTTATTAAGATGGTGACAGCAGTTTTAGTTAGAAAGAGCAACAAGCATTGGTTGTTGGCTTGTTGCCAGAAATGAGCATCACGAAGAAGTCAAAAAGGAAATGAGTTTCCGTTCAGAGAAAAAGGAAAATGAGCAAAGAAGATAGGAGAGCTGAGACACAGATCAAGGTGGGCAAGGCAAACTAGGCATCCAATTCCAGTCAGGATCGAATTGATCCCAACTAATACTAGTACTCCACGTAGCAACGACTTCAAAGGTCGAGCTGCAAATGTAGACCTGTGAATCCAGGAATGGGGTAACGCTACCTCAGTTGAGGAAGTGGTGGCTGCAAGCCTGCACTGCAAACACTCTCGACACCACACAACCCTAACAAGCCGTGTAAAATCTGGGAGCTACGTTGCGAGAGGAACACGAGAATCTTCCGCCACATCGCAGGCAACCCCGTCCACCGTAAAAGAAAAATCAAAGAAGAGACCATAACTTGGGTAAAAGTGGTGACACAATTTGTCAATTTACAAGTTCAGGCGCGGGTCCTTCTCCGTCCCGCAAATAGCTTTTCTGTTACTCTTTATTCTATTAAAACAAACAGTCTCATCTTCACTTATGCTTATGTTTATGAGCTAAAATTTAAAATTTCAACCTTAAAGTTGAAGTTGATTTGGGGTTTTCTTAATCGAAGTTTATTTTTCAGTCTTTGCTCTTAGATCGCTAAAAACACGTATATAAAAATTTTATTCACAGATTATTTTCGTTTATAAATATGTCGTTTGCCTTATTCCTCAAATAAACAAACAATGAGGCCGAAAGATGGCTACTCTTTTACCTTAAAAAAAACTTCAAATGTTTTGGAAGAGAGCGCACCTAGTTGGCGCCTCAGATTTATGTCGAACTAAAAGAGAAAGAAGAAAAGTACGTGATAGATTTGTAGCTAACTACAACACGAGTTTTAAGAAGCTTTGTGAGAGAATGAGATGGCACATGTGCGCGTGTGCAACCGGTGTAGCTTCTTGAATTGGCCACGCCAGAAAGAGAGCATCTGGAAAGGATGCTTTGCTTGTTGCGGTGTTGCCCGATCAATTGGAAGAAATGCTTAATCTGAAAGAAACCGAAAGAGCATTACTACGGAATCCCTAATAGAAGCCGGTTCATGGGTGCCAATTCATTTAAAACATGCTTTTATTGACCATTTCCCATCTCCATTGGGTAAAAAAAAAACTGACGCCTTTAAACACATATAGTTACCGGTTTTAAATAAAAACCAGTATCTACATCATTAGCACCGGCACATATCACTGCGAGCCGAGCCAGCCGCATGGGAGAAAAAAAAAGAGAGCTGCTTAGGATTATTTATCTCCTCTCTCTCTTATCTTTATCCTATCCCTACTTCTCACTTATCTCTCCCTCTCCCTCTCATTGAATTATTTTTGGCTGATATGGAATTCAATAATAATTAATGTCCCTCAACTAATATTGGAGTTTCATTCACGTCCTCGACCGCGTGTCCGCGCCTCGAATTTCGCTAATTACACTACCAAAATATTCTAACTAATTTATAAAGCACTTATTTTAGACATTTGCACCATGATACGTGAAAAGAGTGACCCCAATGTCCTTATTTTAGCTCCACTTATATATATATAGGGATGCAAATGAAACTTAACGTTAGTCGAGGGATGTAAAATGAACTTTTTCCTTAGTTTAACAACAATCGGCGTCCATTGTTAATTTGCTCTAGATGTCAGATTTCAGAAAATCAATCCCGGTGACTTTGAGTAAAATTTTTAGTATGTCACTCTGCATATGATGCAAGATTCGAATATTATTAGCTTGCGACGGCAATGGCATAGCCTTGATTACAAATATACTGCAAGTGACCTTGATACAGAAAAAAATTATTTCAGGAGATAATTCAGAGAGCTCTCTGCCTTACTGTGGACCGTTTCCTAATGGGAATTCCCCATGCTACTACAATTGCAATGGCAAATCCAAGGCCGAATCCCAGTCCAGCAGAAAGGAATAGCACGATGTCTACAGGATTCTTCTCAGAAGGGATCACATTCAGAGATGTCGTGTTGCTGCATCCTGTCGACAGAGGAAGGCCGCACAAACCCTTGTTCCCCAGAAATGAGATGCTGGAGAATGTAGAGAAATGAGGTGACTGTGGTGGTATTCTTCCCTCTAGCTTATTGTATGACAGGTTCAATATTGCAAGGAAGTCCAAGGATGCTAGCTCCTGAGGAATTACTCCTGAAAGCTCATTTGAGGACATGTCCAAAGCCTCCAACTGGTTCAAATGGCCGAGTTGAGATGGAATCGGTCCTGTCAAGAAGTTGTGTGACATGTTGAGTGCGTGTAACAGAATAAGTTCTCCAATGGTCCCTGGAATGCTCCCATGGAATTTGTTTTCTGAGACATCGATGAATACAAATGTCCTCAAAATCTTGGTCAATGTGACGGCGCTCCCTTTATATGTGATCGTAGTACTGAATTTGTACCTTCCTACTCGTGGTACTTCATGATCCATGACTAATGACGTATTCGAGTATCCGATCATCATGGACTTCAATTTCTTAAACCATTGATCTTGTGGCAATGGACCCGAGAAGTTGTTTGAGGCTAGATCAATAATTCTTGCAGCTGGAAATTCACAAGAATTTTTCTCTACAGCAGATTGTGCGACCTGTCCGAAGAACTTGTTAGATCTGAGGGCAATGACTTGAAGTCTCGGAAGAGTACTCATCCAACATGGAAAGGTGTCACTAATTTGATTGAACCCAACATCAAATACCTCCAAGTTTTTGCAAGCAACTAATGATCTTGGTAGTTTCCCCTCTATCAAATTTCCGCTAATATCTAATGCCTGAAATGAACAGCCTTCTTTGATATCGTCTGGCAACACCCCATGAAGTTCATTTCCTTTCAGATTTAATACTTGCAGCGTGCTAACACTGTCCATTAAACAAGAAGAGATTGATCCATTGAAGTTGTTGTAAGACAGATCAAGGAGTTGTAAACTCTTAGCACTGCAAAACTCCAAAGGAATATTTCCAGAGATTTCATTTCCGTCGGCCATGAAAAAGGTAACATCTCTAAGATGAGCACTAAAATTAGATGGCATGGATGAGAACCCATTGTTTGAATATTTGAGAGATGTTGAAGAGCCTCGAGGAATCGGAATGGACCCTTCAAGCATGTTATTGCTAAGATCAAGCAAATCTACTTGTAAGGGAAGAAGAGGGTCATATCCCACACTCGTAAATCTATTGCCGGATAGGCCCAAAAGGGAAATATAATTCCAAGTTTCCCATGCCCAATGCGGTATAGTACCGTTAATTTCGTTGTCGGAAAGGTCGAGGCCATTAATTTCATATTGGTGCCTCAAGAAAATAGGGAACTTAGACATGCTGCAACCCGGTAAATATAGGAGCACAATTTGGGGAAGAGAAACTGATGAGTTATATTCTCCATCGACCACAGCTAGATTATTATAGGAGAGATCAAAGGCATAAAGTTGTGGCAGATTACTTAATGAAGTCAGCTCTATTGTGCCGGTGAAATTGTTAAAATGGAGCAAGAGTAATTCCATTTGAGTAGATTAAATATGTGTGGTGGTATTTCACCGGAAAATTTGCAGTTACACAACGCTAATGTTCTCAATTCCTTCAAATCTCCTATGAAAGAAGGTATCGATCCGGATAACCCACAATCAGAGAACACAAGAGCCGTCAAAGAGGTTAAGTTTGCAACCCATGATGGTAATGGCCCTTCTAGTCCCACTCCGGATATCCCCAATGCATTCAAGGATTCTAGCTTACCAATTGATGAGGGCAGCTCTCCAAAAAAACCAGACGCACCGAGGTCTAGCTGCTTCAAAAATTTGAGATTTCCAATGGAACTTGGTATTAAACCCGAGCAATTAGTCTGGCCAACGAGCAATTCCTCCAGCCTACTGTCAGCTGAGAAATTTGGGAGAATACCAGAGATCCCAAGATTATGGTGGAGATCAATTGTGACAAGATTCTTTTGTCCAAAGATTGCCGGAGAAACCCATCCTTCAAGCTCATTATGGTTAAGTCGGAGAACACTCAAATTGGATAAGTTTGACAAGAAGTCTGGGATTGGACCAGACAGATTGTTATGTTGCAAGTTAAGGGCAGCAAGAGACTGCAAAAGGGAAAGTGAGCGGCAGATAGGGCCAGAGATTGAACAGAATGGTAAGCTAATAACCTGAAGATTAGGAGAGGAATTGGCTAGAGCATCACACCACTGCGCTCCACTGTTGGACATGTCCACATAGCCGAGGTGGAGATCCCTCAAGTTTGTGAGTTTTGAGATAAAGGTTTCAAAATTTGGCTCTATGAGCCATATGGAATTAGCAGTTTGAGATATAAGCGTCTCATAAGCATCATCGGGTATCTCCACGATCATGAAATAAGTGGAAAGGTCGAGTGATACCAAACTCGTCAGGTTGCCGATGCTGGCTGGCACCTGTCCGGTGAATCCAGAGCTGGAAAGATTCAGATGTGTGAGCCTGATGAGACGCTCAAATCCATCAGAAGGAATCTTTGACCCACCGAAGTTGTTATAGGCGAGGTTTAGATACTCCAGAGAGGTTAGCTCGAAGAGTGCAGGGTCGATGCCTGCACTCTCCAAGCCCCAGTCACCCAGATGAAGGGATGTCACGGCGCGGCCATTGTTGGCGCCGGCGCCGGCGGCGCAGCCAACGCCCTCCCAGCCGCAGCAGTCGGTGCCGGCCCGCCATGACCGGAAGGCGGTGACGGAGTTGCTGGTGACGGCGAATGAGCGTTTCAGCCGGAGCAACGCGGCCGCCTGGTCTGGCCGGCATGGCACCCCAGCCGGCGTGACAGCATTGCTGGCGGAGCTGAGGAGGAGCAGAAACGAGAGCTGTAGGAGGAGCAGTAGGCGTCGTGGTACTGATGGTGTCTGAGTAAGAATAATGGAGGACATATTGGCTGAGATTGGCTGCAACTTGGGTGGTTTCAGTGACACGAGACCTTCCTCATCGTTATATATCGATGATCGATCGACCAAGGGCCTTGAAACGCGTTCTTTTATTTTCTTGCTAGCATCAGGCAGTCATGCATGGTAGATTGACAGTCGCCATAACTACGCACTGCTTCAAGTTTGAATGGTTCCCAGCACGTACGCTCGGAGCATCACTGGGTCAAAAAGGGAAATGGGTAGTAGTGAAGACTAAAGACAGGATAGCCCGAATTTTTTGCATCTAAACACATGCAGCTCCAAAATTCCAGATGTGAGCACGTAACGTTTGAATTTCTATTTCTAAACAGCATGTTCGTTAGACCATGTCAAATCCGGTTGAGCTGATGCCCAACGAAATAAATAGGATGTATTTAACTAAATGTCCATGTAAATAATGGGCCTTTTGCCCTTCTGCTGTCTTGTTTCTGGCCGTAACGTACACTACTAGCAGCCCCAGTTGCATACTCCCTCTTTCCTATAAAAAATAAATCTAAAATCGAAGATCGGACGTGACATATCTTAGTACTGTAAATCTGGACAGATGTATGTCTAGATTCGTAGTATTAGGACGTGTCACATCCGGTACTAGGTTGGTTTTTTATAGGACGCAGGGAGTAAGTCTCTTTTTTTCAGCCAATCGAAGTTGTTTAATATTTTTTTTGCTTACTATGAACATATTACACTAAGCAGATGGATTAGATTTGGAGCTCACCGGTCACATGCTCACAGCTGCCTATGCAGATCTAATTTCCAACATAAAAAAACAATATCTAAACTCAGGGAAAATTGTTTGTTGGATTAGTAAAGAGAGGGCGATGGAGGTCGAAGAAAAATTGAGGCTAACGGCAGCAAGCGGTCGGCAAATTTGCCCTATTTTCCTTGCCTCCCGTAATGGTTCATCCATCTATCATCCTTACCTTGATCATAGTTTGAATCAATTCACAGGCCCATGAGTTTGTTGGAATAGCAGTTAGATGGAAACACCAGTGTACATGTGAGCATCATGTCTACATATTTAAATCCTGAATTTGCGTGCTCACATCTGAAAATTTCGGGCTGCATGTGTTTAGATGCAAAAAATTCGGCAGGATAGCGCGACACGGATCAATTTGGGCAACTGGGCATCCAATTCCAATCAGTCTCGAGTTGACCCAGCAACGACTTCTATCAAGTGTCATTGGAAGAGAGGAAAAGATAGCATCTATGGAAGCAAAAGGATGTTTAATTTTTTTGTTAGAAATAATACAATTTAAATGGGAAATACAAAAATGTAGGTCGGCTGACTAAAATCACAGTAGCATACTACTCCATCAAACAACCAAAATTCGACAGGGTACATATCGAACAACTGCTATTCGATAGGTATTCGACGAAGGTTGGTGAGGTAACAATTTATTGAAAACTTGTGATATATGCACATGTTGTACTGCATGTCTTGCTTTTGCAGTACATGGGCACAGGAGGTCAGGAGGTATCGAACTAGGGTGGACCATCCAGTTGATATGCAATGAACGGGTGGACATCCACTCGAGTTATTAGATTCTATCTCCTTACAATTAAATAGCAAATAAAACTTAACTTAAATTACTATATGTATATTTACAATTAAATTTGTTATTTTTGTTACAACTTGTAGAAGTTGAATTTAAACTTACATGTTTGTGGAGTGATATATTACATATTGATCTATCTTGTCAATTTTTTTTTAAAATTGTTCTTAACCATCTAGTTGATATGCAATGAACGGGTGGACGTCCACTCGAGTTATTAGAATCCATCTCCCCATTTCTTCCAGTTGATCTTGCAACACCGCAATAGTCAATACATCTTTGATTTTTATTTTAGAAATAATCTATTTTAATGGAAAATTGTAAAAGTATAGATCGGCTTACTAAAATCACAAATTTAACACCTATCGAACAACCACAGTTCAATAGAATATATATCGAATGTTCTTAATACGATTAGTTATGAGCATGGCACATTCACAAAGCCTATTGATAGGGTTGCTACTTGCTAGCCTCAACAAAGAAAATAAAAATGCATGCGTGCACCACGACAAAAGTAGCATCCATTTGAAAGAGACAGGACTAGAAAAATAAATTGTTTGCTAACAAATTAGTTTTAAGCATTTCAATGTAATCATATATTTGTTGATATTTCTATATATATATTATAATAGAAAATAGCGGTTTAAATTATTTTGTGTCCTTAGCCAAAATAACAAATATTATTAGTCTGGAGGAAGTACCAACTAGATATAACTTTAACAACCTATTTCAGCTAGATGCAACAAGTAGAGAGTGAAACTACCACAAAACCGCAACTCCTTTCGAAACCCCTTTTACTGCAAACTAGGCCCACATGGCATACATACTACGCTTGGTAGGGATAGAACGCCCAACCACATGATCGTCTGTACGGTAGCCATGCCACGTCAGTTGACACGATGCAGCGCACATAATGATGTGGTTCAATACATCATCTTAAGTTTATTTGAGGTCCCTTAACTTTGAGGTGGGAAATGATGTGGTCCAATACACCACCTTGCTCAGTCGGTCTCCCACGTCCGCGAGCCGCTTTGCGCGTCCACGCGGCCTTCCACGGTCGAAAAGCGCAACGCAAGTGAATACGGGCTTTCGGCCCGGGAACGAAGCGGCCTGTAATTAATTTCCATGTCGGCTATAGCAACACAAGTTTGCCATATATAAAACTTCGCATGGCTCATGCTTCAAAATAAAATCTACACGGCAGATCGGCTACAAGCCTGCAAAACTGTCAAATGACCTAACAACTATTTCTGTCAGCTTTTCCACAAAAACCTTAAAACGAACACAACACTTTTCAAGGACTGCACCTTTGTACACAAGTTTGGGAGAACATCTTTCAACAGCTAGGACACGAGACACTAAACACACACGATGACGACGAGCCATTTGGTGCGAACGAAACAAACGAGTGATCTGCAGTTAGGAGACTCAATTGTCTCGACCAGTGACCAAAATCATAGATGAGACCAATGTGTGGATTATGTGCGGTGCCAAAGATATTGCGACAATATCCCAACAAAACACATGCGAGGCTGTCAAGTTTTCTCATTGTTCTCCTTTTTCAGTTTCTTTTCAGCTTTATCTCTTTTATCTTTGGTGAGTCCGTAAATAATTTGTCCTACTTAATATAGCACCAGGCACCAGCAAATGTTGGCTTCGGTTTAATAAGTAATAATTTCCATGTCGTGTCGGCGAAGAGAGTCTCGCGGTTTCTGGTGGCAAATGGCAATGAACGGAGCAGGCCAGAACGATGGGCAAGTTGACACATGTATATGTAGCGCTATTGATTCTTGTCATATAATTGCATTGCTGCGTGAGACTTAGGGAGGAACCAATATAATTGAGATCCCGGACGGACTGTGGGTATCATATGTCAGTGAGTGGTACTGTACCGTAGATGACCTGCATCCGGGGAGAACCCGGGTTTATGAGCGATCGCTGCTGATGTTGCTAGCTGCTTCTCTGTCTCATTCGGATCCAGAAAAAAAAAAAAAGATACTCCGTATATTGGCAAGAAAGGGAGTTGGACAAAATGGTTAATATGAGGCGTGACTGGAGGTGAATACGATGGGCATACGTAACACGACCGTTGTTCATCAGTTAGTCATATGCTCCCACCAGTACAGTCATTATTTGCACTGTACAGAAAACGACTCAACAGCAAATATTGTCGTTTACGGAAAATTTCTTTGTTTTGTTCTAATTAATGTCCAATCTTTAGTATAAGAACTTATGAACATCATATGCTTATTGCCTGTTTACGTGAGCCACATACTCCCTCCATTCTTCCTCCATTCTCAAATAAGTTAATCTAATACTACCTTCATTATTTTAGTATATAACTGTTTGATGGCATTTTTGCAGCGGCTAGAACGATGAACCTGATAGCCATGAACATTAGGTATATGTGAGGCCAGCTAGCTCTCCATTTCATGTGTGCATGCGCCATGCAAATATTGAAATACACACTGTGCCCAATCTATACTTGTCAATTAGTATATATATGCGTGTGTATACTGAATCAAGAGCAAGCTAGCTATATCAGTCGGCCGGTGAAGCAACTACGTACATGCATGCATGCATGCATGGCAGTACACAAATATATGGTGTTTGATTAAGGGTGAGGTGATTAATGGGCTTAATTAAGAAATTTAATGCGCCTGCCCCTGGGCTTAGCCCATATCAGTGAATGACACAATCGCGGCGTATTATACATATCCGCAGTTTTGATTTATCGGCTAGATGAGTTTACTTATCGATCAAATTAGAGAGATAAGCTGGGGTTTCAATTTATCTGAACGACTTCTGCTCACGCGTGCGGAAGAGATAAAACCAGATGAATTAAGAGATAACCAACAAACCAATTGATTTTATCTCTATAACAAACTGATCGATCAAGCCTTATCTGCAACGAACTTGACGCGGAGGAAACGGCGCGGACGCGGCCAGCACCGACCTCAGACCCATATATAAGGCGTCGACCCCTCGGCAGCCAGGGGCATTCACGAACTCATCCACACATTCATTCACCAATGCATCTAGCATCCACAAGCCACCCATCATCAACACATCTACCCATCCAGCATCAACACATCCATCCATCAACTCTCATCGGCGATCCATCCATCGACGACACGCACCGGCGGCGGCGAGCGACTTCGGCCGGAGTCCCGGCGTCCGGCAGGAGAGGGCGCGCGCGGTGATCCGATCATCAGCAAGCGCAGGAGAGGAGCTTGATGGCTAGTCAAGGTAAAAGCTAGCAAGATTGTTTCATTTTCTTTCATCTACAGCACGCACACATCCATGCATGGGGATCCATCTGCACGTATCGTCGTCGCCGGGGAAGTCGCGGTGGCCGATTCATCTACGCCTCACAGAAGCCTCATCGATGCCGGCGTCTGTTCAAGCCGACGC